ATTTATGATTGGCAGCAAAGAAAACAAATCACAGTATGGTGTGTCAAGTGGGTAAAGATTATTTTGAGGAAGTTCCACTTCAAATGAACGCAGAGGTATTGAAGGGCTTAAGCATCTTTTAGCACTTCTCAGAGAAAGAAGGTTTAGAAGCGAGGTTTCCAGGATGTGAAGTCTCATCTCCGAACAAAATCGCGACTCAGAAGGAGAAAATAAAATTAACCAAAATTCTTTCAGCCAAACTACATGACAATTTAAATCTTAAGTGAACTCAGTTCCAGGTTGATAATCAATGTAAAATTATGATACATTATGATATATGCCGAATGTGACTATTTTAGGTTATGTTTGTTTCAGTCACTGTCCAGGCAGAAGCAGAGTGCTGTCTCACAACTGCACTTGACACCCCAGAGGTGTCTGGGATTCTACACCATTTCGTGGTAATTTTCAGGACTTATGTCCAATGGGAAGGAGACCTGACAGAGGTATCTCTCCAAAGTGGATCCTCACAGAGATATTCATTTTTTAGAGGCTTCCCTTCTAGAGCCTTTGATTCTGCAATTTTATGGAGTGGAGTGGGGTGGGATGGGTGGGCCTTTAGGAGTATCATGGCTTTGCTCTGACATTCCAGGTAGAACAGATAATTAAACCTGAAAAAAGGCAATAATGATTTTTCAAAGTGATTTTTCAATAAGATACTTAAATACTACTTTTACTTCCTAACTTTACTGGCATATTATGAACTTCTGAGTCCATTATTTAGTTCCTGCAAGTAAGGAAATACAGGCCAAAGATGGGAAGAAAATGACTCTATACATGGAATGATAGCTTATAAAGTATAATATAAAGAATACGTAATATGAAGATATGACCAAATAAATCCTAACTTCAGTACATATGAACTTCCATTTCTGAAGGGAATCTTCTCTCTTTAGTATGATGGTGATTTAGCTTAATGTTCATCCTTACGGATAAATGTAATATTGAGATCTAGCTCACGATAAGAGCAATGAAAAAGATGTCTGAGAAATGATGTATAAAGATGAAATTAAGATAAAAATTACGTTCTTACGAAGAACCATCCATGACTAAAGTAGCTCTTTTTTATATTCATTTGCATATAAATGTTTTGTGTTAGTAATAAGTAACATGCCATGCATGTTATGAATGCATAATAATGGATTCTTGGCCAAATGACTGACATTCAGTCTACAATAACTTTCTAGCTTCATGGTTTTGATTGTATATAAGTGTTCCACTACAGCTATAGCAATTTTAAGTGACTGAAATGAAAATATTATCAAATACTTCATACATGCCACCCTCCATGAGTGACCTATGCAAGCATAAAAAAAGAAAGCCAATTGCTTCAATGATGGAGAATGCACTTCAAGGGTAGCTTCTTTACATTGCTGACCTTCAGGCCGTACACTAGTGGAGCTATACCAAGTTATACCATGAGAAAGCCTAGCCACATTTTTCTTAAAAGTAATGCCATGACATCATTCTAAACACAGTACACCGAACTGTATAATCTGGACCTGGAAAGGAAGTGAAAAACATATATAATTTGAAGCAAAGATGGAGAAAAGGAAAAATGCCTTCTTTGATGGTTCATCATCAATAGTACCATATTTACCACAACGGTTTCCTGGTGCTTAACAAAAGTATTTAAATAAACAAAAGTTCTTTTCTATATCATTCTCCACCCATTCTGTACAGCTGGTGACCTCAATTTTGGGTGAACTTCTTAATTCACCAGAAAGATTTTTTTTTTTTTTTAAATCTCACTTGTAAATCAGTTCAATCTGAAATATTTTTTTAGTGATACTTCAGAATTCCCAGGGAACTAATGAATCCAGTATTTGCTCAACTATACCATACTATTCTATACTATACCGTGCCATAACAACTATGCCAGCACAGGATCATAGGAAAGTAGCATTAGAAGGGACTTTGCAAGGTCACCTATTACAGCCTCCTGCTCAAGGCAGTATCATTCCTGCCTAAACTATCCCACCTTGTCTAAACTGCTTTTGAAAGTTTCCAAGGATGGAAATTCCACAACTGCTCTAGGTATCCTGTTGCAACATCTAACCACACGCATTGTCAGAAAGTTCCTCAAACTAAATTCCCCCTGCTGCAGCTTGAGACCATTGCTCCTAGTCCTGTCCCCTACAGCCACAAAAAAGTCAACCTCCATCCTCCCTATAATCACCCTTCAGATATCTGAAGACTGTTATTAAATCTACCTCCTGAGTTTTCTCTTTTCCAAGCTAAATAACTCTAGTTCTTTCAGCCTTTCCTCATAAGTCTGGTTTCCCAGGACCCTGATCATTTTTGCTGCCCTGTGCTAGACTCTTCCCAAACTGTCCATGTCCTGGGAGGAGTAAGGGGCCTCTATAATGGTTCATGGCACAAAGTGAGGCAGAGACCATGACCAGCACCTCTGATGAAACAGGGAGATATCCTCCCCAGCCAAAAATAGACTACCACCTACAACAAAAAGCATCTTCCTCATCCCCAACTTTTCATGGCCACTGTGCTATAAAAACTGCTATAATCTTGCCCCCAGCTGTCAAGAAGTTCTGGTCTAACACATAGCTCCAACCCACTGAGGTTATACTAAACCACCTCAGCTTAAACTAATAAGACAAAATTGGGTCCACACACTACATGACCGAGGCCCTCTTCTGTCGAAATCAAGAAAGAAGCATTTCTAATCCATTGTGGCATGAATAACATGCAACGCCCAATTAATCTTTTTCGTATTCATTCGGGGTACACATATCATTCATACCAAAAATTGCCACCAGGAGCAACTCCAGTGAAATCAAAGAAATACATCTGTAATGTAAATTTGTTAAGAGAAAGTACTCACTGTATATCAGCACTATTAGCCAGAAAAGCTACTGAAGTGGGTAAGAAGATAACTGAGGCACTTTAAAGTGCCCTAAAATATGCATGTATGCAGCTCCCCATTAAATGCTAATAGAAGTAATAAGCAAGCACTAAGTAGGAAAACATATCCCTAGACTAATTGACACAATAATAAAATGGAATTTTTATGAGTGTAATCATTTAGACTATATTCATTTACACTATATTAGTCTTAAGTCCCTAAATCAAATTTCAGCAGAGGCTTTGTCTGTTTGGTAAATAATAAATTCATATTAGGGCCTAATTAAAAACCTCGTAGAGTCAATACAAAAATTCCCAATTTAGAACTCAGATAGCAGTAAGACCCTGGTGCAAGCTTCAAAGAGACAAAAAAAACCCTTGAAGATCATTAGAAGCTCTATTCTGAATTCATTGTTGTATTGCTTGTGATGACATCTTCTTTCAAAGGAACTTGTAAGGGTGGACAAACCTGTATGTAAATAATGATCAGCAACTTCATCTCTAATTCAAATCACTGTTTACAAGTTTTAGCCTTCCACAGGAGTTCATAATTTTGTATATGCAAGCCTAGTCCATTATTTATGCGTGCAAAACATATGCATGCCACCTGGTTCTCAAAAAATAATTATGGTAAAATATAGAGAGAAAAAACATCTTTCAGCTGAATCAACTATGGTCATTCCCTGTAAAGGGGTTACAAAAATAAGTTACAAATTTCACTTCTGAACACTGACACACAATTATTTCAGATACATCGTATTTTTGTTTTTTCCATGGTAATTAATATTTTTAATTTTCTTTCCACTGTTTGAAGAACAAAAATTCTGTTCCAACTAACTGACTTTACATCCTTCTGCACTGCAATAGATGTCCTCATAGGATGTTTTGTATTCTTTACTTTTCAAAAACATTGAATGCCTATCTGTTCTCCTTTTGTTCAAAGCCAGTCTGCCACAATCAACAGGAGTATAACTCTATATGGAGAAGGGAACCTGGACAGATTCTGCAGGAGCATATTCAAAACCAAACCTGTACATGTACAAAATCTCTATTTGTCTTCTCCTGTAATTGCCCTTCTTCCTTCTGATTTTGTGATGCTCCCTTATTCACTCACATCCCAGATGCAACAGTAAGGTATAGAGTCCTGCTACATTTAAGAGAAAGTCTGGCAGACACTCAGGACCTACAAAGTCCCCTGGAGGTTCCCCAAAACAATCATTTTGGATTCCCACCACTGGGACTCTACTTTCTTACAGCCTCATCTGTAGTTTTGAAAATCTGTTCATAATTTAAAATCCTCAAGACAGATTTGGGCAGGCAAGCACATCTTAGTAAGTCACCCTCATGCTTCTTATGTTACAACCCCATCTCCCATAGCAGAGCCAACCCCCACAGCTGAGAATACAGACAACCTGCTTTACAATTCATTTCTATAACCTTGTCAGAAAGTTCTCAAGAACAATTGAGTTATTGCCCGGATCCTATATACTAAAGGTGATCCAAGCTTTCAGTGACCTGATATGACCAAGTAGTCCATTATCAGAGTCCCTTCTGTACATGCCCTTACTATTATTTCAAGAGTTAATCCTTCCTACTGTAAAAAATACACATAACTATGTTTAAACATACTAAAATAATCGACCAATATATTATTTATAATACTCTAAAGGAGTGCATGAAAGGGACACTGGAAAACTAACTTGATTATTACTAGGACCTTTTATTTTTAAAAGGGCACCCAAATAACACACATTGTCTATCTAGACTATTTTGTAAATAAGTAAGATACTATAAAATATAAGGATCATTCTATACATAAAAACTATTTTACATTGCAAATTACATACAAAGTCATCTTCCTCAAGAAAAAGGTGCTTTAGGATGGACATAATTTTTATTAGGTTGTCGTATAATCATCAAATCTGTAATGCCAATGTATTCAATTAAAAGCCTGTCTACATGGTAGTATGCACTGCTTCATGACTTAAAATTTGTTTACATGTCAGAAACTATAAAACAGTTTCTTTGCATATCTTTTGCATTTGAATGAATTCTTCCAAACATTTCTCTCACACTCCCCTTTCTCCCCCAAGGAAGTTTACCAATGCACAGAGCAAGTCAACTGCTTCCAGAATAAGTTCCTGATGGCCAATTCGGGTGACTCCCAGATCTTCCAATTCTTGGTGAGTAATACGTAGCAACTGGTCCCCGCTAATCTTCTCCCTCTCAAAGTTCTTAATATATTGTTGCAGGCAGTCATCAAGACCTATGAGAAAGAAAGAAAAAAAGAAACAAAGAAAGGAAAAAAATTAACATGCTGAGCTACTTCTCCAGTGACTAGCTGGGGCTTCTGCCTGGAAGCTGCAGAATACGGTAGAGACCCATCTTCTGATGAGGATGGGTCACCAGGAGTGCATTTCTTCAGTATTCCAGAATCTGCCCTGGCTTATAATAGCTTTCCTGGTATAATCCAAAGTGCCTTTTGACCTATATGGCCCTGAACAGTCTGTGCCTTACATATTTAAGGGACCACCTTTTTCCTTACATTCCACCACAATCCCTAACTGCACATTTGGGCAGGTCTTCAGCAGGCTGGGTTACATTTTGGGGTGCTGCCTGGAGACTTGGCTCTATTACATATAATTTAATTTTTATATTTTTTATCTAGTCTTTATTTGTTCTTGTAAGCTGCCCTGAACCTCTTTCATAGAGAGCAACATATAAATCAAATGAATAAGTAAAAAATAAAATGGCATGGACCAAATAAATCCAAATCAGTGAAAGGTATATGCAAAAACTCTAAACCAACCCAAAATGTATAAGTTAGCCTTTTCTCACCTTTACACCCACCAGAATACACAGGCTGCTCTAGTGCAGTTCTGGCTCCAATTTGGCTCAATTTATGGTAGTCTTGAATCCCATACAGCAAGAAACATAGGACCAGAAGAGGTCTATTGAGCCAGAGCCCCTTACATATGCAATCATTTTACCCAGGGAATCCCTGAAAAGGCCACTTCAAACCCTCAAACACAATTACAAGGCACTATATACAAGCTGGCATGTCTCCTATGTTGAGGTTTGCAAGAAGAGCAATCTCAGGAGGCTCACAGCAACATCATGCTATATACCTGCATTAGGGAAATACTCCCCTGACAAGTTGCATCAATCAATAGCAGAAAGAGAGACACTATATAGGACTTAATGCTCTGGCCATTTGGCTGCAGTTTCAGCCTGATGAGTCTCCCCGTACTACATATTTTGCCTAGAGCAAAAACTACCACATTATTTTACATAATTTATCAGAATTTAAATAGCAGCCTTTATTCAAGCAGCCCAAAGCAATATGGGTAAGTACAGTCAAAAAGCCTGAGGCTGAACCAATTCAGTCTTCGCAGGTTAATCTAAGCTGCGTAGACTGAACCAATAAGCAAGTGAACAGGCATTCACTTTTGATTCTGGAAATGCAGCCACGTGCCTGCAGTGGCCCAGGCCAAAAGACAGGGGGTGTTAGAGCATGCTTCCCTGCTTGGCTAGAGCAGGCAGCATGGACCAAGCCTAGACCACCCACCCTGTGAAGAGAGTTTTGCAGGGGAGTTGCAAAGCATCCTGGGATGCTGGGAGACTGAGTTAACTTGAATCTGGAGGAGATCTGGGACAGGAGTTCAATAAATCAATTTAACCTAAATCAGTTCAGTCTGATACTCTATCCATCCAGATTTATCTTAAACTGGTATTGGCCATTTTAAAAGCACTTTGGCTAGGGACAGACATTCAAAAAGCCTGAATTGATTCAATCTTTGCAGGTTAGTCTAACCTGACTAGGCTGAACTGGGTTGAAACTAGACAGACATTCTCTCAGGACTAAGGAAATTCAGGCACATGCCTGCAGTGGCTCAGGCTAAAAGCCAGGGGGCACTACAGCAGCTCTCCCTACCCCCTTCTGTAGGGAGCTGAGCTGAGGGGGGCGCGGCCAGGCCCCAGCAGGACTCTCTCAGTAGGGAGGTCTGTCTGCACAGTCCCAGGCTTTTCCCCGCTGGCTGCTCAAGGGTGGGAGTGTTGCCAGCCCCCAGCCCTGAGCTAGCACTCTGAGGCAAGGGGGTTGTGCAGTGCATGCATCTGTTGATAAGCTTTTCAATCTCCCTCCCTGCCTCATCATACTGCCTGTAGCAAACTGAGAGAAAAGCAAGCCAGCTGGGAGGGAGGGAGGGAGTGGGGAGGGGGGCTGATAATGGTCTTTATCATCTGATTAGCAAAACAAATAGCCTCTCTCCCCGCTTCAAACTTCTTAAATAGCCTACTGGCTGGCCTATTGATTAGCTCCAAAAGCCCTAAGTGGTCACTGTTCTGCCTGCCTATCCCAGTGAAATTGGAGGGACACACACACACACACACACACACACATATATATATCTTGGTATTAGCTAGCATACTACATGCTGGCTACAGTCTGTGCTGTGGCAGAGAGGAGGACAGGATCTCTGCTTAAGCAGCAAGTGGTGAGAAGAGGGGAGAGCGGGGCACGGGGAAACCAACAGACCCCGCTGTGCCTGCAAATCTGCGCTGAGCTCCAGCCTTGGAGCTAAGGGGAGAGCCAGCCCTGCTATGAAGCAGACAGCCCCACCTAGCCCAGAGAGCATGCCAAGATGCTGGGGGACTCTGATTAAACTTAAACCAGCAAGGGGTCTGGGGCAGACATTGCATAAACCAGCTTGAACCAAATCAATTAAGTCTGATACTACATTCAGTCAGGTTTATCTCAAACCAGTTTCAGTTGTTTTCAAACTGGTTTATGTGCACTGAACATCCGTTCTGTTACAGGTTTAAACAAGATCCTGATCACTTAAACCAGTTTACGTGTAATGTCTATCCCTAGTCTTTATGAGCACTGAACTTGTGTTGTGTTACAGATCTGAACTGGTTTCCAATCACTTATACCAGTTTGTGTTATTTCTGTCCCTAACCTATAAGAAACATTACAGAGCATGTGTTCACACTATGTCCAGTACTATGCAATGTATTCATCCACTTATAAATTCGTTGTGAATTATTTCATAAATTTGACGTTAAGTATTTCATATATTAAAGGTTATGCTGAGGCACGTAATAACAGTATTTAATAAAAAGCAGACAACTATTAATTGTTAGGATTTTCAGTCTATGATGGAAAAAGAAATGTGTTTTTTAAAAATAATTCTCCTTAATTGGGAAAAGGGAGCACTATTCCCAACTAATCAAAAAACCTAATAATCTAAAGAGGGCAGGGTGGGTGGAGTGTCAGGGCCTTGTTGCACAGTAATTGGGGGTGACATTTATACAGGAGTTTGTTTTTATTTTAAAGGGTTTTTCTCTTGGGGATCCACTAAACCTTTACTGACAGCTGCCTTCTGTGCCATTTTGTAGCCACATTGGCTTCATGTAACTTAAATCCTTGGACTTCAAATTCTGCACATGAATCATAAATAAATCAAAGTATATAAAAAGGACAGCATTTCTGTTGTCCAATTCTGACTTGTACACTTCAAATCTCTTACTTTGCTGCACAAAAGTACTGTCAAACCGTTTAACGTTCAGAGCCTAAGTAGGTACAAATACATTCAATTACCTCAGCTTAAGGAAGCGTCCAGTAGGATCCTAAAGGTTGTGCTAAGATTCAGTCCCTAAACCTTTGTTCTACTATGTGTCTTTACCTCACGAGTACCACTAAGGCAGCATGCTTCTTGGCTGGATGTTTCCACCCAGAGCAAATCAAGATGTCTGCAGCACAAAAAAGTTGATGTGAAACTGGTGTGTCACCAGCCCAGCCTATCAGATTTTTTGTGGATTATTAATTTTGTGTTATTGCATGTTATCATGTTAGGCTCTATTGTGGGAAGCAGTAAACACACAATATTCATCACTGCCATATCATGGAGTCTCTGGTGGAGTGAGGTCACTACCCTTTCTCCTGAGACGCACAATGGCAGCCTACTGTGCATCTATTCACACAAGGAACACACATGCTAACGCTGGTAAGTTCTAAGTATTATCCTAACTGCTAGCAAACCCCACAAACCTCTGAAATCTGCGGGACAGAAATATTAAGCCATTTTTCCATCATCACAAAGATCTCCAGTGTTCTAGGCAGTGCATTAACCATAACCCTATCGCCTTCCAATAGGGCTAGGAACAGAAGTTACACCAAAACTGGTTTAAGATAAACCTGGATGGATGTAGTATCAGATTTAACTGATTTAAGTCAAATCCAGCTTATGGAACTTCTGTCTCAGATCCCTTCCCAATTCAAGTTAACTCACAGTCCCCCAGCAGCTCTGATCTGTGTTGCCTACTCCCGTGGAGCAGGGCTGGCCCCTTCCCCAGCTATCACAGAGCTAAGTCACTAAAGCCTCTGCTCCCTGCCAGTCTGTCAGCCTGGCAGGATGGGGTTGCGGGGGGGGGATAGTGGGGGAGGGCAGAGAACAGCTTCTCAGGCCCCTGTCTGTACAGGACAAGGGGAAGGAAAAACCTAGCAGTCAGGGCTTTTCACCCCTGAAGCAACCATGTGAGCAGGGTTGGCATCAACTCAGCCCCACTGCCTCCCCAGCCTGTGAGAGATGGGGACTGAACAGGGCAGAGAGGGGAACTGCAGTGGCCCAGCCCAAGCCTCCCCCCACAAGCTGGGGTCTGCCTGGCACAGGGGGAAAGCCCTGACTGGGGACTTTTCGATCCCCTGCAAGTTGACTTGCAGGGCTGGCATCAGGTCAGCCTCTCCAGCCCAGCTGGGCACTGCTCCCCCACCCCTAAGCTGGGGTCTGCCTCATGTGGGTGAGGAGGGAAGGGAAGCCCCACAGGGAGCTCTTCACCCCCCACCCCCCCCACAACCCAGCTCGTCAGGCTGGCATGAGCTCACCTTGCCCCCTCCCCAGGTGGGGGGCCAGGGCCATGTGGTGCTTTCCCCCTTCCCACCCCCCTCTCAGAGGGGTTACTAGGGAGAGATTTTCTGCTGGCTCTTCCCTCCCTGTGCCTACACTGCCACTGGGCTGGGTTTAGCAGCCTTAAGCAGCTGATCATGAGGGGTGGTGTGCATGAGTACCCCTAGGTTTCTGGCCTGGGTCAGTGCAGGTTTCTGCCTGTCTTGGCCACCAAAACACCGAATGTCAGTTCATTTTGTTATCAGTTACGCAGCTTAGAAAAACCTGCAAAGATTGAACTGATTCCACCTTGGACTTTTTGAACCTCTGTACTTAGCCCAAGAGTAGCAACAAACCATTAGTTTAGTATTTTGTGCCTTCATTTCTTCTATTCTTTTTCCTTTACAATCAAGGAGCTCTTCCTCTTTATAGTAACAGAGGAGGAAGAAAGGCATCTCAACCACAAATCGTGACTCATTTGTACTAAACACCTTGCTTGCCTTGACTCTTCAGGAGCTAGGAGTTCTCTCTTTCTTTTTAATAAGGAAAAAGACAATAGTTAAATGTGCAATAATAAGGGTAATCTAATGAAGACCTTTTTTTCTCTTAAATCCCAGTCTCCAATAAAAGAAAGAAGGCATTATGAATTGGTCAAAACCAGATCACTCTCAGCAAGTTTTAGATCAAATCACTGTGTGACTTAGCTGTTATCGGAGACAAAAGAGACTATTTAAAAAAAAGTTGAAACACTCATTATCATTCAAATTCAATCACCATCACCAAGGGTTCAGCTTACATTGAAGTATGAGCCAGCATTATTTCCTTTAGAAAAAAAACAAACAAAGCTTTATTGATGCTTTGGGCAACCAAACAACATTAAAAAGAAAATGAGTAAGATGCCTATGAAAGCACTCAGAGTATAACAAAGGAGGCCAATTCTATTTCTTTCAGGGAATTTAGATACCACTGTGTCATATCATGAAGTGCTAATACCTAGGTCTTAAATTACCAATTTTATTTGTGGATAATTTTTATTTTATTTATTTACTTGCATTGGATACCTTCAACTCATTTAGGTCCTGCCATACCCCTTCAGGA